AGCCGCCGCGCTCGGCCAGCGTCACGCTGCACGTGCTGCTGGTGGATGGCTTCTCGCAGCCCTACCTGCCGCTGCCCGACGCGGCGGCGCCCGAGCGCGCGCAGCCCGACCGCCTCACTGCCTACTTGGTCATCGCGCTGGCGGCCGTGTCTTCTCTCTTCCTCTTGTCTCTGCTGCTCTTCGTGGCCGTCAGGCTGTGCAGGAGGAGCAGGGTGCGCTCGCTGGCCGGCTGCGCGCTGCCCGATGGCCCCTTGCCTGGACACCTGCTGGACGTGAGTGGCACGGGGACCCTGGCCCACAGCTACCAGTATGAGGTGTGTCTGCAGGGAGGTGCTGGCACCAATGAGTTCAAATTCCTGAAGCCTATCATCCCCAATCTCCAGCCCCAGGGCTCTGGTGAAGAAATGGGAGATAATATTGTAGTCCGAAATAGCTTTGGATTCCAATAGAGGTCTGTCTGGCTATGATAAAGTATTCTTTCTATTTGGGATCCAACCCAGACAGGGATTTTTAATGTGTTATAGAAAAATTTTGCACTCAGAAATAAGTGGACGTTGCCCACAAGGACTCTGTCGTACACTACCTTGGTGAGGTGTGCCTGATGAGAGGACCTGGAACCAGTGAAGTCAACTTCTTGACTCCAAGCATCTCCATCCTTTCTCAGGGTGCAAAAGAGTTTATGATGAAAATCTGTTTTAGTAATAGCTTTGGATTCAGCCCTCTCTCTCTCTCTCTCTCTCTCTCTCTCTCTCTCTCTCGTTTACTGTTTTGCTCATACTTATTTGAAAGTATCTTGTTCTAATTCTTCTCGTTACTTAGTATTTCTAAATGTATGGCTTTTGTAGTTCAATGAATATGAATTTGGTTGTGTTTTGATTTTGATTAGTATAGCAACCTAGTTATATTTAAAGTATGAATGTAAATTTTGTACTTCTGGAACTCTTTCATTTTTAGTTAGAGAGCCTTTTCTGAAAGTCAACTTCCCAGTTCCTTGGTAAGTTCAAAGGCTTATATTTTAAAAAAACAACAACATTATTGCAGTACATGGGTTGAAATTTTGAAGCCCAGAATATTTTTGTTTTATCACTTTAGGCTGTGTGTCTTTGGATTGTTCTCTGTAACTGTTTACAGGGGTATATTCATGAATAACATAACACCTTTATTATATTTATCTAAAAGTATATCTTAAATGACAACATGTAAAAGTTATTACTTCTTTAGAAGCTTTGAGGAGCCTAATTGTTTGAATCCACAGACTATTCACTTTATGAATGTCTGTTTTTGTAAAAAAAAAAAAAAGTTAAGTGGACACAGTTGCTTATTCTTATCATTCTAGTAACTCAGAGCACAGTTGCTCATTCTTATCATTCTAATAACTCAGGTAGAGTCTGGATGAACTGAAATTAAGGTCAGCTCGAACAAAAAGTTATTGAGATCTCCATCTCATTATTTTTTTAAGTTTGTCTTGGTGTCACATGCCTGTCATCTTGGCTATACCTAGGCATAGTTACAAGGATATTGGTCTGAGGCATGCTCTGTGAAAGTTTAAGCAATGCAAAACAACTGCAGCAACAAACAAACAAACAAACAAAAAGAACTCTGGTTAATCCAGTCCTCTTTAAATATCCATTTGAATTATTAGAAGCCTTTTACTAACTCTGACTCCCTCCACAAAAGTTAAAATAATACATGTAATATGTGTTTATTCTTTACCAACTTAAGAAACTTTTGTTCTTTTCAAGAATTTCTGGAGGCATTTAGGATTCAATAAGAAATCAGCCTGTGTTAGAATGTAGATAGATGCACTCACTCACTCACTCTACTCACACTCGGGATAGCTATCTATCTATCTATCTATCTATCTATCTATCTATCTATCTATCTATCTATCTATCTATCTATCTATCTATCTATCTATGTATCTATCTGTCTGTCTGTCTGTCTGTCTGTCTGTCTGTCTGTCTGTCTGTCTATTTATCTATACCTCCTTCAGTTCTCTAGACTTTTTGATGCTTTATAAAAAGTGTTTGCATTATATGTATGAATAGCTCCACATTTATTGCATGATTAACATAGTCACTAAGGCATTTTAGGTTCTACTTAAAATTTCTGAATGATTGAAAAGTAGTTATTTCACTTGGTATGGATTAATACTTAAATATGCTAAAATAGTTAATGAACAAAATTTGCTGGAATTAAATGCTTTCTGATACACAATGAATTGTGTCATTTTGTTATAATTGAACTGTTTAAATAAGTGTTATTTAAACATTATCCAGATCCAGGTGCAGGTGGCTCACGCCTGTAATCCTAGCTACTCAGGAGGCTGAGATCTGAGAATTATGGTTCAAAGCCAGCCCAGGCAGGAAAGTTCCTGACACTCTTATCTCCAATAAACCACTAGAAAACCGGAAGTGGCACTGTGGCTTAAGCGATAGAGCACTTGCCTTGAGCTGAAGAGCTCAGGGACAGCACCCAGGGCCAGAATTCAAGCCCCACAATGGACAAAAAAAACCAAACCAAAACAAAACAAAACAAAATTATCCAGTTATCACCCCCATTGTATATATCTGTACTTGTTTTTCCTCTTATTGCTTTTATTTTCTTTTTTCTGTTTCTTTTTGTTGGTTGTGGGGCCTGAACTCTGGGCCTGGGTGCTGTTCCCTCAGCTCATCAGCTCAAGGCTAGTGCTCTACCACTTGAGCCACAGAGCCACTTCCAGCTTTTTCTGTTTATGTGGTGCTGAGGAATCGAACCCAGGGCCTCATGCATGCAAGGCAAGTACTCTACCACTGAGCCACCTTCCCAGCCCATCTACTTATTGCCTTTTGAATCTCTTTTCCTATCCACTGGTTTATAGATGGAGACATTGAGACATTCAGCTTTATAATTTAAAAATAAATGACACATGAAAATTTCATTTCTTACAGTTTAATTTCTGAACAACCTCTTAAATGAATTTTAATTATTTTGTTATTCAGCCTATCTTTACTTTTTATATTATTTTCACATGTTTGAGCTATACTATTAAAATTATAATTTGGAGATCTCATTTTGAGATCTCCAGTGACACTGAGTTCTACCTTGGCATTAGAAGTCTTTAACCACTAATTCCATCTAGGATCTTAGGTCACAATCCTGCTCCCATGACAATAGCTATTTCAATACCTTGCAGTTATAGTCCAATAAAATAACATAAAGTTATAGAAGGATAATTGGAATTATTTTTAGTATCTTCAGCATCAGAAGTAAAGTCAATAGATGAGCTAGTACATAGCATTCCTGATAATTGTGTAGAAATACAAATGAAGTTATACTGAACACATATATTTGTGTTGTTTCATTTGTCTTCCTTACAGATGTCTCTTTTTGTTCTTAAAATAAAAAGCATGTGCCCATTATTTGGACTGACTTTACCTCTTCACCCTTTTCACTTACTCTTGAAAATAAGGTTCTGGGTATTCTCTGCTTTCTTATTACCCAAAATGGTTGTACTTTGTTCTTCCAGGACCTTCACATTCTTTGTAGTCAGCTGGTACACTCATCATCCTTCAGGCCCCAGATTAAATGGGGGAACTTTAGTGAAGTCTTCTTAGCAATCTTCATTAAGTTAAGGCCTCCCTCATGCATGCTTTCAGTGCATTCATTTTATCTCCTCTATAAAGCTTTCATACTTTTGAACATGTGTTTAAAGTACATATATCTCCTTTGATGTAAGATAGTATATGATTTTAGACATTGGCTCTTTCTGCCCTATGCCTAGTTTCTACAAATTCAATAATCACCTATGCAGAATAACTAGTTGTAATATTACTGTTTAATAAGGAGAGGAAAAGGCCCTCTAAAGTATTTCTTGTATGCGTGTATGTGTGCATGCCCACTAGTTTTGAGACTTGATCTCCAGATCCTGGTCACTGTTCTTGAGCTTTTATGCTCAAGGTTAGTACTGTAAATTTGAGTCAGAGCTCCACCTCTGGCTTTTGGATGGTTAGTTGGAGATAAGATTCTTGTGGACTTCCTGCCCTAGTTGCCTGTGAATCATAATTCTTAGATATCAGCTTCCCAAGTAAGATTATAGGAGTGAGCCATTGGTGCCTGGCTCTAAAGTGTTTCTTGGAAATGAAAAAGTGTAAGCAATTGGGCATTTGCTACCCTCTAGATGGACTGTGAAACAATCTGCCATAATTTCTTTCCCAACTTGCTTTCTCATAGTGTTTTTATTATTATAAATGCTACTTATGGCTGGGAAGGTGGCTCAGTGGCAGAGTGCTTGCCTTGCATTTATGAGGCCCTGAGTTTGATTCCTCAGCACCACATAAACAGAAAAAGCCTGAAGTGGCACTGTGGCTCAAGTGATAGAGTGCTAACCTTGTGCTAAAGAGCTGAGGGACAGCGCCCAGGCCCAGAGTTCAAGCCCCACGACCAAAAAAAAAAAAAAGCAATTCATATTTATTAAACAAAATGGAAAATTAAATCACACATAGGATAGTTAAGTATGGCATCATTTAAAACAAAGCCTTTTATATTTATGTATAATAAATATAGATGAAAGGTAGTAGCATTATCAGCATGTATAGACTCTTACAAAATCATGTAAATCAGGGCTCTTTCAGGGATTCCATCTTCATTTAGAGGAGTTAATTTCCATAAGTTACGCTTACTTATGTGACACCAGAAGTTCCTCCAATAGTCAACTGGGTTTGATAACGACAATGAACAAAATTACTTTCTCTAAAAAATTTTAAACTGCCAATGAACGCATGGTGGCGCTGTTGACTAAAAAAGGAGAATTACACTGTCTTCCTCTGACGCACCAATCGAGTCAGAGAAAGCCCGGGAGTGTGAACCTGGGCAGAAGGATCAACCAGCTTATCTGAGCCTCTGGAAAACATTATTTTGTTAAGCCATTTGCACAAGCTGAGGTATAAAACGCTTTTCCCAACACCGCTGAGGCTGGATTTAGCGACGGTTCCTTCTGGAAGAAGAAGGCAGGAAGTAAAATGGAGGCTGGAGGGGAGCGCTTTCTTAAACAAAGGCAAGTCCTGCTTCTCTTTATTTTTCTTGGTGGGTCCTTGGCTGGGTCGGAATTGAAACGCTATTTTGTGACTGAGGAAAGTGAGAGGGGCTTTTTAATAACCAATCTAGCAAAGGATGTGGGGCTGAGGGTGGACGAATTGGCCACAAGGGTGGCCCAAGTTGCATCCAAAGGGAACAAACAGCATTTTCAGCTCAATTATCAGACCGGTGATTTGCTCCTGAATGAGAAGTTAGACCGAGAGGAGCTTTGCGGTTCCACGGAGCCATGTATACTGCCGTTTCAGGTGTTACTGCAAAATCCTTTTCAGTTGATTACAAATGAGCTCCAAGTCATAGATATTAATGATCATTCGCCAGTATTCTTTGAGAACGAAATGCAGGTGAAAATCCTAGAAAGCGCCCCACCAGGAACAGCAATTCCTTTGGGAAATGCTGAGGACCTGGATGTGGGAAGAAACAGTCTCCAAGACTACACCCTGGCTCCCAATTCCCACTTCCATGTCGTCACACAGCGTCGCAGGGACGGAAGGAAATATCCGGAGCTAGTGCTGGACAAAGCGCTAGATCGGGAGGACCAGCCAGAGCTTACTTTAGTCCTCACAGCGCTGGATGGCGGCTCTCCTCCAAGGTTCGGGACAGCCCAGATCTACATCTTAGTCTTAGACATCAACGACAACGCCCCCGAATTTGCACAGTCACTCCACCAGGTTCAGATTCCAGAAAACACTCCTGTCAACTCTGTCATTACTACAGTCTCCGCTTCTGATTTAGACACAGGAAATTATGGGGCGGTTTCATATGCATTTTTTCACGCTTCAGAAGAAATTCTCAAAACTTTTCAACTAAATCCAATTACTGGTGATATGCAACTAGTTAAATGTCTGGATTATGAAACAATTAGTACTTACGAAATAGATATAGAGGCCAAGGACGGAGGAGGCCTTTCAGGAAAATGTACAGTCATAGTTGATGTGATTGATGTTAATGACAACCCACCAGAATTAACCATGTCGTCAGTTAACAGTCCTATTTCAGAGAATTTGGCAGAGACTGTGGTAGCGATTTTCAGCGTTTCAGATCTAGACTCGGGAGACAATGGAAAAATTAAGTGTTCCATCCAGAAAGATCTCCCTTTTGTCCTGAAACCCTCTGTACAGAACTTTTACACCTTAGTGACTGAGAGCCCACTGGACAGAGAAAGCACTGCTGAGTACAACATCACCATCACCGTCTCCGACTTGGGAACCCCCAGGCTGCAAACCCAGCACACCATCACCCTGCAGGTGTCCGACGTGAACGACAACGCCCCCGAATTCACGCAGTCCTCCTACACCCTGTGGGTCCGCGAGAACAACAGCCCCGCCCTGCACATTGGCACCATCAGCGCCACAGACAGAGACTCGGGCAGCAACGCCCAGCTGACCTACTCGCTGCTGCCCGGCCCGCAGCCCGGCCCCGACGCGGCGGCGGCGCTGGTGTCCATCAACGCGGACAGCGGGCAGCTGTTCGCCCTGAGGGCGCTGGACTATGAGGCCCTGCAGGCGTTCGAGGTGCGCGTGCGCGCCGCCGACCGCGGCTCGCCCCCGCTCAGCAGCCAGGCGCTGGTGCGCGTGCAGGTGCTGGACGCCAACGACAACTCGCCCTTCGTGCTGTACCCGCTGCAGAACGCGTCTGCGCCCTGCACCGAGCTGCTGCCCAGGGCGGCCGAGCCGGGCTACCTGGTGAGCAAGGTGGTGGCGGTGGACCGCGACTCGGGCCAGAACGCCTGGCTGTCGTTCCAGCTGCTCAAGGCCACGGAGCCCGGGCTGTTCAGCGTGTGGCCGCACAATGGCGAGGTGCGCACCGCCAGGCTGCTGAGCGAGCGCGACGCGCCCAAGCACAGGCTGCTGCTGCTGGTCAAGGACAATGGCGAGCCGCCGCGCTCGGCCAGCGTCACGCTGCACGTGCTGCTGGTGGATGGCTTCTCGCAGCCCTACCTGCCGCTGCCCGACGCGGCGGCGCCCGAGCGCGCGCAGCCCGACCGCCTCACTGCCTACTTGGTCATCGCGCTGGCGGCCGTGTCTTCTCTCTTCCTCTTGTCTCTGCTGCTCTTCGTGGCCTTCAGGCTGTGCAGGAGGAGCAGGGCGCGCTCGCTGGCCGGCTGCGCGCTGCCCGATGGCCCCTTGCCTGGACACCTGCTGGACGTGAGTGGCACGGGGACCCTGGCCCACAGCTACCAGTATGAGGTGTGTCTGCAGGGAGGTGCTGGGGTAAATGAGTTCAACTTTGCCCCCAATTTTCTGATACAAGACTCTTAAAGACGCACTACAAATTTTAAGTTGCAGCAGTAAGTTGGATATCATTAACCGCACAGTCAAGTGTGGTTTAGCTTTGTGTTCTTTTTAAATCAAGTATTTTAGGGAACATGACATAGTTATGTTGATTTTACTTTCTAGTGGTTACGTTATTGAATTCATAATTTAATTTTTCATCTCTTTCATACTTTAACAACGTGCGATATTAATGTTTCTTTTTCTTTTACTAATAGGATAACAAGAGCAAATTGGTTCTCTTTCAGTGGTAATTTTAATTAGGTTTATTTAACAACTCACTTCAAATATCCACATTTCATATCAGTACATAGTTCCAATCCACAAGTTTTGCAATTTGTAGTGTTCATTATATTGATATAACATGCTTTTTAATACTCCTAAAGTAGCATTATTTATAGTTAATCTAGTTTGAGATTATTCTTTAAATTTAACATCTCTTCTTTTTTATAATTTATCATATTTCATGAGGTATAATATTCTAATGAGAGTACAAAATGTATTCAATTTATATTCTGTATTATTTCAAAATTGCATGTTTATAGAAGTCAACAATTATAGATGAATATAGCAAACTTCTTAATTTTCATTATTGTTGCTTCTAAGCACATTCATAATAAATGAGGAAAATGAAAATTAAACCATTTTAAGTCATTTTAAAAGTGTGCTTTCCACTTGACATGAGATATTTATTAAGGCATATGGTAGGATGACAGGTTCGTTTGTATATTCAGAGGTGCAAATGTAAAAATCTTGGCCTTTTGTAATCTCAGGAAGGCACATAGAATTTCAATGAAGTATCTATCTAGAAGAGATGAATTATTCTAACTATTGTGAGAATAGAATCCAATCTCTATGGAAGCAACTTATTTGATTGTTTCCCTTTGAGTGTTCTGAAAATTCAGAAAATTGCAAAATAAACTGTTAATCTCCATTAATTTGTATTTAATTAAAATCCATTAATTTTAATGTATTAAATTAATATCTATTAAATTGTATTTGATTAAAATTAAACACAAGTCCATTCTCGTTGTCCTGAAGTCTGTATTGAAATCCTCTCAGCTAGAATTGGCATTTCTATTGAACTTAGTTTTTATGGTGCCAAAATTAAATAAGTCTTGCAGGATTCCTGGGGCTTAAAAACATTTGGATAGTCACTCATTTATTTGCCAAATATAATTCTAGATGGTATGAGCACTCTTTTTTCCTATAAACATAAATTTAGAAATAAATTTTAGTATTTTCTTGTTAAAGTCACCACTTAGCTTTTAGCACTGTAAAGCAAAGTTTTGAAGTGAATTTAAATTTGTATCTAGTGTGATTATGATACTAAACTAGACTCAAACTCAATTATGTATCAATATAGTTAAATATCAACTAAATCTACTGAAGTAATTCATTAAATTCTTTATTCTTTGTGTATGTGTGTGTGTGCATGTGTGTGTGTGTGTGTGTGTGTGTGTGTGTGTGTGTGTGCTGGTTCTAGGGCTTGACCTTAGAGCTTGGACACTGTTCCTGAGCTTTTGTACTCAAGACTAGTGTTCTACCTCTTGAGGTAGAGTTCTTCTTTCAGCTTTTTTGATGTTTAATTGGAGTCTTTACTGCCAGGCTGGCTTTGAACTATGAGCCTCAGATCTCAGTTGCCTGAGTAGTTAGAATAACAGAGTATGAGCCACTGGCATCCATGCTACAAATGGCTTGTGATGTAGAGGTGTCACATAGAAATAAGGACATCAACCCGAAAGGAACTTGGCAAGACATAAAGTTTATCTGCTACTTTAGCTGAGCTCAGGTTCACAATCTGCAAAAGGATATGGCTTAATTAATTCAAGGTGCTTCTAACAGGATGTCTTTATTAAAATGCAACAGGTAAAGGATGTAACAAATTAACAAAAGGCCAACCCACCTAGCCAAGCAGGAACTTTTCAGAAAAAAAAACAATTCTTACAAAATTAACAGAAAAGAAGCAAACTATTTTAATAGAAAAGATGACTTTCTCATACCCAGCTCTCTTCCTTATTCTTAAATGGTGCTTCCTTGCAAATGACATTTTTTGAAAAACATAGTTTCTCTGTACCTCCTATTACTTTATTCTGGGAATATCTTCTCCTTAAGTTTTGTAAAGTCAAACCTATATTAATCTAGTCCTGTTGTTTATGTCAAATGTGCATGTATGATTAGCCAGTAGTGTGAATGAGCATAGATTTAAAAAATTAAACTGGTTTTCCTCTGTTCTTTTGGTATTCAACACTGTCAATGAAACATAGAATGTTAGTCTACTCAGTCTTTTCTCTATAAACCTCTTTACTCTGTTTTAGACTGTTTTCCTTTTTATGTCATTTATTTCTTATGTTTTATTAATGAGAGGTTTCATTGTAAGATTTCTGATGTACATATAATGTACTTTGATCATAGTCATCCCTTCCATACTTTTTTTTATTCCCCACTGATAGTCTCCCTTCCTCCTTTTCATAGCTTTTTTTTTTTTTTAAGATCTACCAACCAGGGAGAAGATGGTCTTTACTAGCCCACGGCAATCCTCTTTACTTTTTCCTAGCTGGTCAGGTCTGAAGAGCAGGATAAGGCACAGGGTGTGTGGGGATAGGGATCCGAGGATTAATTTTGCTCCAGTACAACATTGCAGCAGAAGCTTGATGAGAGCAAAACTGGTGAGACTTGATGCATTCAGTCAGAGTCACTGAGGATTGCTTGCCATGCTTGTGGTGTTTGTGCATCTTTTAATGTGGTTTCTTTATTTTCTTCAGTGCTTTCTTGTCCATTGTAGCTCATGCATCTACCATGCCAGGAACCAGGGGATTCACAGGACACATGCCAGGTGCAGGGTGTGTGGGTATGGGAGAGGGTAAGGACCTGAGGATGGCATCCTGGATACTGTGGCTGTGGCATAGGTTAAGGAGGCCCATATGGAAGGAAACCTGGGCTCCCCTGGGGAGCTCCTGAGGGAAGGGGACAGGATTGGAACCTTCAGGGCACCCTATGTAGGGGCTACTTAGATTTTGTGCTGCCTGCCCAGCATTTGGATGCCACATGTTCAGGTGTTTTCCCAAGCTTTTCCTCCACCACCTGGATGGTCCTCCCATGCCTTTTTCTTAATTTTGTTTTTTGTAGTTCTGGGATTTGAACTCAAGGTCTTGTGCTAGCTGGGCAAGTGCTCTACCACTTGAGCCACATTCCTGACCATATTTTCTTTTTTCTCAAGTAGAATCACTAATTTGTAAACAGAAACATGTTTTTTGTTTACTTCAGGATAGCCATTTGTGGCTAGCTTGAGAGGGAATTTCAATGATGCTTTGATTAGCATTTTCTTTGTGTATTTTGGACACTTCTTCATATTTTTTACTTTCTATTCTTCCTTTGAAAACTGTTCATTTGGTTATTAATTATATTACTGTTTCTGTTTTTTAACTCTTTATATTCTAGTTTTGTCTTGTCAAATAAATAGCTGGCAAATACTTTCTCCTATTCTATAAGCTTTCGCTTTGTCCTTATAATTTATTTCCTTGGATGGCAGAAAGATTTTTAATCTGATGAAATTCGTGCTCTTACTTATAGCAATTGAAGTCGTTTTCTGTACTTGTATTTGAAGGGCTTTCTCTAGTAGTCTCAATAATTTATGCCTTACATTGAGGTTTTTGAACCATTTTGAATTGAATTTTTGTACAAGATTAGAGATATAAGTCTAGTTTTAATTTTCTACATGTCAATATCCAATTTTCTCAGCATCATTTGTTGAAGGGATGTTTTCTCAAAGGCCTCTGCCTCTATTGTGATGAGCACATGGATATAATTTTTGTGCCTGATTCCACTTCTGTATCGTAATATGTTCATTGATTTGTGTGTGTGTGTGTGTGTGTGTGTGTGTGTGTGTGTGTGTGTGTGCGCGTGTGTGTGTGTCATGGGTATTGAACTCTAGGCCTGGGCACTGTCCCTGAACTCTTCAGCTCACGGCTAGCACTCTACCACTTGAGCCACACTGCCACTTCTGGCCTTTTCTTTTTATGTGGTGCTGAGGAATTGAACCCAGGCCTCATTCATGTGAGGCAAGCACTCTACCATTGAGCCATCTTCCCAGCCCCAATATGTTCATTGATTCAGGTATGCTAAACCATTTTTCTGAGTATAGGAACTCCTGCATGGTTTTGATTTCCATTTGTGTGGCATATCATTTTACTTTGTCTCTCTGTGTGTCTCCTAGGGAGATTTGTGTGTCTTGTATACAACAAGTAGTCCTTTCTTTCCTTTTTTCTTTTTTCCTTGCTTCCTTCCTTTCTTTGTTTCCTTCCTTTTCCTTCTTTCTGTCTTTTCCTTTCCTTCCTTCCTTCCTTCCTTTCTCCCTTCCTTTCTCTTTCTTTCTTCCTTTCTCTTTCTCCCTCCCTCCCTCCTCCTTCCCTCCCTCCCTCCCTTCCTCCCTTTCTTTCTCTTCCTTCCTTCTTTCTTTCTTTCTCTTCCTTCTTTCTTTCTTTCTTTCTTTCTTTCTTTCTTTCTTTCTTTCTTTCTTTCTTTCTTTCTTTCTTTCTTTCTTTCTTTCTTTCTTCTTTCTTTCTTTCTTTCTTTCTTTCTTTCTTTCTTTCTTTCTTTCTTTCTTTCTTTCTTTCTTTCTTTCTTTCTTTCTTTCTTTCTTTCTTTCTTTCTTTCTTTCTTTCTTTCTTTTCTTATAGTGTGGCTTATAGTGTGAACTCCCTGAGCTCTTTTTGACATAGGCTAGTACTCTACCACTTTGAACCACAGCACCATTTACGGTTTTCTGGTGGTCAATTGGAGATAAGAGTCTCATGTACTCTGCTGCTCAGGCTGAGTTCCGAACAATGAACCTCAGATCTCAGCCTCTGAGTAACTAGGATTACATGTGTTAGCCACTGGTGCTAGGCAGATTTTTTTCCTAATCCAAACCCATCAGAATCTTTAATTAAAGAGTTAATATAATTCACATTTAGAGTTAATATTGAAATATTTGCTGAGGCCTGTAATTTTGTT